TTCGTTATTCTTGGCTTCTTCTTACTCCCTCTAACAATGCAAATGTTTCTCTCTAGAATCTTCAACCGATTGACAAAATCAACCGAAGTTTTGGCAACCTTCCAAGTGAAAACATTAATGCCCAAAAAATCAATAATATCTTCGAAAGTTTTCTCAATTCTCATCTCTTCACTGTTCTGATCAATAAATTGCTTATCAAAATTGCTTTAAATACCCAAACAATTTTCATTGCAATTTTCATAGTTGCAAGGATCAAATATTGGAGGCAAATCCAAATTTAATAACTTTGATGAATAACAAGATGCACCAAAATTACCAAATCTATTTATACCTTCAAAGACACAATGAGAATAATCGTGCCCCTCTTCACTTGACTCACACAGCGAAGCACAATAATGAAAAGGGCTATCCCCCTCGTACTCCCCGTCAAGACTCCCACGGCTTAGAGTGTCGATGCGAGCTACTCGGTTCAGATAAGGGTTCATGCATCTCTCCCCATCAGAACTCTTACCTATCTGGGTTCGAGCTTCGATGCGAGCGACGCGTTCCGTAAGTTGCCATAGCATCCTCCTAATTTCCTCCATGTCGTTATAGTTGTCAACACGACCCTCCATCCAAAAACCTCCTCGATAAAGCAGATCTTGAGCCATAGCTCTGATACCAATTGATGAGGATCGGGGATCGGGACACAGGTCACCAACAACATACACGAGCACCGAAATCTAGGGTTAGTGCAAACTCACATATATCGTAGCAAATCCATGCCACAAATAAACTATTTCATTCATCATCAATATTCCATTCCCTACAATTATTACAGTAGCCTTATTTATAGGCTTTACAATACGTGGGTATCAAGACTGCTTGGTCCAAAAGTAAACTAATTAATTATAAAATCACACATAAATAATAAACGATATCCTAAAACTACCTAATTAAGAAAATAACAATATATCATGAAATAACTAATTAAATGGTAAATATCTATCTTGATCCACCCCTATGCTCCTGCATCATGTAGGTACAAATTTGTTATTACCTATATGTAGGGAATATAGTTTACAGATGAGTGAATAAATGTGTCTTTATTACCAATATAACATTTCCATCAACTAAGCTACATTTCCAATTTCTTTTTG